CTAAGCCTTAGGATCCTCGTTCAAAAAAGAAGGGCAGTAACACCCTTTGCAAGGTCGTGAGGGGATGAAACCAGATGTAGTAGGAAAACGCCTGGTACACAGCAGGTGCCAAATAAATGGCAGTTTTTATCAGGTGTCTGCTGTTATGGATTGGAGCTTCTGCAGGACAGTCAGGCTGCGCTGTACAGTGCTGTACATGTGAGCTACAGGGTGATGAGGGTCGTTCCGGGACTAGCTGGGGCTCCGGAGGTTGGGGTGGGGGTCACAGCTCATAGAAGTCAGGGTAGAGGGCACCTTTGAGATATCTAGTCCAGTCACTCCCATTTCTGGTCAGCAATCCTGGGCAGCTGGACACAGGCCACTCTTGGGCTCCCAGAGCACCTGACCCAAAGTATCTAGGGATGGGACTCAAGCATCTGTAATTGAAACAAGATTCCTAGGTAATAATGTGTAATATTATTGTTAGGGCTACTGCCCAGAGTAGAACATTTCAATAAAACTAAAAGATATGCACTAGAAGAGGAAAATACGTGGGGTTCAAGGTCACTGCATGACCCTGGATGATTCCTTCTCTGAGCCACAGGCTCCCCAGACTTCCCAGCAAGGAGGTTAAATTGATGAGCTCTAAGCGCTCCTCTGGCTTTGTGTCTGTGATCTTTGTGTGACCCTCCAGCAGCCATCAGAAGGGAGGAGGCCAAGGTGAGATGCGTGAGTCAGGACGCCTGTGGGTTTCAGTGGCAGGAACTGGATTCATAAGGGCTTAAGCAAAAATGAAATAAGGGGGAGGGGGAGAAATGCATTTGAACTAAAAGGTTTGAGGGTATATACGACTTCAGGCAGAGCTAAATCCGGGCACTGAAATGATATATTTTCTCATTTTCTTAGTATTGGCTTTGTTCTCTAGTGGGCTTTGTCAGATAATTGTATCTAAAGTCTTTGAGTTAAAAAAACAGATCCAGGCAATGTGGGGAAAACCAAATCCACGTTTGTGTGTAGTGAGCCGTTTCATTGAGAACAGTGGCAACATGGTCTCTGTGATTCTTTAAAAAGTTCTCCTTGCCCTGGCCGGTTTGGCTCAGCGGTTAGAGCGTTGGCCTGTGGTCTGAAGAGACCCGGGTTCAGTTCCCGCTAAGGGCATGTGCCTCGGTTGCAGTTTGTCCCCAGCCCTGGTTGGGTCGTGTGGGTGGCAACCACTCGATGTGTCCCTTTCATGTCGATGTTTCTCTCTCTCTCTCTCTCCCTCCCACTCTATCTGAACAAAATATCAAAAAATGTCCTCGGGTGAGGATAAAAAAAATAAAAATAATAATAAAAAAGTTCTCCTTTGCCCGGCTGATTTGGCTCAGTGGTTGGAGCATTGGCTTGCAGACTAAAGAGTCATAGGTTCAATTCCTGGTCAAGGGCACCTACCTCCGTTGCAGGTTCGATACCCAGCCCCTGTCGGGATCATGCAGAAGGCAATCGGTCAATGTTTCTCTTTCTCTCCGTTCCTCCTTCCCACTCTATCTAAAAAAATTAATGGAAAATTATCCTTAGGTGAGGATTTTAAAAAAGTTCTTCTCATTCAGGTAGTGAGATGTATCTTCATATGAGTCTAGCTTGTGCTGTCATGCACATGTGCACATAGGCACATGTGTGCTGTATGTGGGCATGCACATGTACATACGTGTAAGTATATATGTGCTTGTTCAAGACTTGTGCACACTATTGGGAATGGGATCTGGAGGACCTCAGTAGGAAGGGGGCATGGTGTCTCTCCACTCTAGGAGAGTTAGCCTAGTGTAGATCTTGGGGTCCCCCAAAGGCTTTAGCAGGAGGGGCCTCAGGGGTGTGGCAAAGTTCCGTCCTTGTGCGAGCTGGAGCCAGTGAAGCTGCAGAGGGCGGGTGACCCTGAGAATATGGCTCCTTGGAAAACAGGACCTTCGCGCTGCCTGTGGGAGGACAGGGTCCTCTGCCTGCGCCATTGCCTCCGTGCCGCCCCTAGGCCCACAGACTTCTGAGCCTGGCTGTGTGAGGACAGGGTCCTCTGCCTGCCCCATTGCCTCCGTGCCGCCCCTAGACCCACAGACTTCCGAGCCTGGCTGTGTGAGGCAACCAATGCCAGTGGGGGGGGTGTGCTGAGAAGCAGCACCCAGCACGGTCCCCGCGGCTGCGGGAGGTCGCAGCCTGGTGAAGGTGGGGTCCTGGGAGGCGCAAGGGTGAGAAAAGGAAAGAGACTGGAAGCCTGAGGGAAAGACATCCATGTGGGGCAGCTAGACCCAAGTAGAAAGAAAACCTGAGGGGAAGAAACATTAAAATATGCAACAATAGTCCGGCCTGTGCGGCTCAGTGGTGGAGCGTCGACCCATGCGCCGAGGCCGCCGGTTCAATTCCCGGTCAGGGCACATGCCCAGGTTGTGGGCCCAGTCCCCAGTGGGGGGCACGCAGGAGGCGGCCAGTCCATGTTCTCTCTCATCGATGTTTCTGTCTCTCTCTCCCTCTCATTTCCTCCCTCTCTAGAGTCAATAAAGGGGGGTGGGAGTGCAGCAATAGTCTTTGAACAATAGACTGAGGAAGTCCAGAATCACGGCTCGCAGTCAGGCCAAGTCCCACAGGACCTGAGCCGTCATCTAGTCCAGTTTCTGAGCATCCCCAGTGATGGGCACCTTGTCATCTTCCAGGCAGTGCCTGGTTTTGTGGGATGCCCGGGAGAGAGGTCAGCATTCCAGAGGCAGGTCAGAGTCTTTGAAACTCAGAGGAAAACCTCAGAGCGCAGGACAGTAACAATTTGCTGAGGGCAACAAACAAGTATAAAAAAAAAAATCAAATTGTGGCCTGACTAGTGTGACTTAGTTGGTTGGACATTGTCCAGTGCACTAAGAGGCCACAGTCTGATTCAAGGTCAGGGCACATAACACAGTTTCGGGCTCAATTCCCAATAGGGAACATGCAGGAGGCAGCCCATCTATGTCTCTCTCTCTCTCTCTAAAAATCTATACAAACATATTTTTAAAAATTAAATGGTGGTGATTTGCTGTGAAAGAAGCCATCAAGGAGCTGAGATTGGAGATGAGGAGGAGGGGCCACCTCAGGTGGGCAGTCAGGGGGGTTCCGAGGAGGTGACATCAAGAACTGGGAGCAGCTGGAAAGGAGAGTCCTGGAAAGACAGAATGGTTTATGCAAAAGCCCAAAGCAGGAAAGAGGTCAGAATCTTCTGGAATAGAAGGAAGGCAGGTGGGGGCCAGCAGGGACAGGTAGGAGATGAGTTTGGAGAGACAGTCACCAAATGACTGGCTCCTATAGGGCAGGCAGGACTTCGGTGTGAACTGAGTGACACCCCGCTTCTGCACTGAGAGTAGAGGGGGTGGGGCATGTGTGCCAGGGATGAGGCTGCAGTGTGTCTCCTGACACTGGCACAACTCTTGAACAAGCACATATGTACTTACACGTATGTATGTGTGCATGTTCACACACACACACAGCACACATGTACGTCAGGCAAGGTGCTTCACACTTCTGGGTCTCACTGTTGCCCACACATGGGCATGATGTGAGGCAGATTTTGTTCAGTCTCAGGAGGAACTCTAACTATCTGGAGTAGACAGTCTTAAGAGGTAGTGAGCTCCCCATCCTTGCAAATGTTTGAACTGAGGCTGGCTCCACCATGAGGACACGCAGACACCAGAGGAGGATTGGGCAGAACGACCTTTCTCGTTGCTGATCCTGACCTTGTTTGGACCACATTTCTGGTCCAATCTTTGTCCCTGTCATGCTAGGTGACCTCAGGCTGGTTATTTCCCCTTTCTGAGCTCAGTTTCCAAATGATGACAGAAATAGGCTGATGATCATTATAGGTTTTCCCACCAGCATATTCTCTAACTTGTCCATTCTCAGTCTTCATCCCAACCCCCACTCACAATGGCCACCGTCTTGGCAGCCGGAGGCACCACAAGAACTCGGTCTCAGTCTTGGCAGAAAGTCATCCCATCTCCACCCCTCCCAATTCAAGCATCCTGGGTGACCTTTGGGGTGGAAGTCTCTCTGCTCAACCTGGACAGGGGTTGTTTTCTTTGGAGTCTCCTTGGATGGCACTGGAAATAGGGCTTCTTCCATGTGCAGCCTCCCATCCTGTAGCCACCAATATAAGGGCCACCACAACCCAGAAGAATCCCAGGAGACCGTGCAGGTGAACAAGGGTTCGTGAGCATCCTCCTCCAGACCTGTGAGTAGTGGGCTCCCCTGACGACACCCCACAAGGTGGTCCTCAGTAGGCTTTGGGAGCTGGAGGCAGAGGAATGGGGCAATTTGTATTAGCTAATATTTTGAATATGGCAAATTAAGAGATAGATATATATTATATTCAGAGAAGTGTCAAACTGATAAGCAATTCAGGGTCATGACATGATGCCCATTTATTTGTTCATACTTGAATTCAGCAAATCATTTTTGTTGAACTGTCCTGGGTACAGGCTTTTTACTGGGGGCTGAGGATCTGACAGTGAAATGTCACAATTCCTCCTCTAAAGAGTTCACTGCCTAGTGATGGAGAGGACAGGTCATCAGGTAATTGGTACCCAGGGCTTTGATTAGAGAATAAAGACAGAAAAAATGGTGGGGTGAAGCCCCCTAACCTCGACTCCAGACAGAGGCCTAGAGCAGGTTCCATAGAGGACATGATATCTTACTGAAGCCAGAGAGTCCATAGAAAGTGACTTAAGTAAAAAATGCAAAGAAGAGGGCAGATGTTCCAGGCAAAGAAGCCGGCATGTGGAAAAACCTTTTTTGTAAAAACCACGGACTTGTAGTCAAATGTGCGTTTTCACATCGCAGCTTGTCCACTCACTGGCTGTGTCTCTGGCCAAGCCCTAGCTTTCTGACCGGGTCTGCCTATCTGTGAAACAGGAGACAACCAGTTATCTTAAAGGAATGTTCAATGCAAGAGTGGTCGGTGCTCACTGAAAACTCCCCTCTGGGCGGTGCTCACTCCTTTTCTCCTGTGAACGTCCAGGTGTCAGGACAAGATGTTTCAGCTTTGGAAACTTGTTCTTTTGTGCGGCCTGCTCGCTGGGACCTTAGCGTCTTCTGAGGATGGTGGCAATGACACAGAGAGTGCTGCAGATAGCCCGAAGTCTGCTCTTCACAAAGGACTTGAAGCCATTGAAAAAAACCTTGATGGTGAGTCAATAAGGGTGGCACCCAGGAACGTGCCTCCTAAACACTATATGCTGCATTTCCAGGGGCTGCCACCAGGGGCTGCCTTTTATGGGTGGTTTACTCACTTCCTGGCTCATTCACTTATTATTTTTCTATAAACAGGCAATGCTTAAATGAATATCCTTTTACATATTATATCACGTAAACTTTTCCCAATATATGCACAGGATAAGCTCCTAAAAGTGAGATTTTGAAAGTTCAAAAGATATGTACGTTTTAAATTCTAGGTGTTGCCAAATAACCCCCTACATTAACATTTTCTCCAACAGTTTGTGAAACTACCTTTCTCTCTACTCCCTGGGCAGCACTGGACAACTTAAATGCTTTGCCAGTCTCACAGATGAAACATTGTAGCTCATTTCACTTTACAGTTCTCCAATCATGAAGGAATCCACTTGTTTTTTCACATTTTTAGCTTTTTATATATTTTAACTTAAATATTTTGTTCACATTCTTTGCATATCATTCTGTTGGGTTGTTTACTTTTCTTGTTGATTTGTATTAACTCATTGAAAATTAACTCTACATAGCCTAGATAGCTACATGCCTACTTTTATAGTTAATTCAATCTCCTTTTTATTCTAATTTTGTAAAAGAACTTGGCTTTCTTTTCATTTTCTGGAAAATTAACAGCACACTGACAAACTTTTTTATAGGAGTTAGTCACTTCTGTAAATGGTTGCCTTTCAAATATTGCCTTTCGAATATTTTAACATATTCAAAGATAAAGAAGGGAGTCTGGGCCGGTGTGACTCAGTGGTTGAGCATCGACCCATGCACCAAGAGGTCGCCGGTTCGATTCCCAGTCAGGGCACATGCCCAGGTTGTGGGCCTGATCCCCAGTGGGGGGTATGCAGGAGGCGGCCAGTCGATGTCCTCGCTCATGGATGTTTCTATCTCTCTCTTCCTCTCACTTCCTCTCTCTCTAAAATTAATAAAGGAAAAAAATAAAAAAGAAGGGATCCAATCTTTAATTTCACTGCTGAGAAAACTAAGCTCAGAAACAGAGTGTCTGGGTTAAGGTCACCTAGTGAGTTCTAAGACCAGATATAGTTTTATTTATTTGTTTCTTTCTTTCTTTATTTTTCCTTTTTATTGAGTTTTCGTTTTTATCCTCACCCGAGGACATTTTTGCATTCATCTTTAGATAGAAGGAGAGGGAGAGAGGGAGGGAGAGAGAGAGAAACATTGATGTGAGAGAGACACATCGACGAGCTCACACGACCTCAACCAGGGCTGGGGACAAACTACAACCGAGGTACGTGCCCTTAGCAGGAACTGAACTCGGGACTCTCTGGTCCACGGGCCGATGCTCTAACTGCTGAGCCAAACTGGCCAGAGCTTGAATTTATTTTGATTAACAAAATTATACAGGTTTCAGGTGTACAATTCCACAAAACATCATCTGTACACTGTATTGTGTGTTTACCACCCCAAGTCAAGACTCTTAAGATCATAGTTGTTTTTTCTTTTTTATTGATTTTAGAGAGAGGAAGGGAGAGGGAGAGAGAGACAGAAACATTGATTAGAGAGAACATTGATTGGCCGCCTCCTGCATGTCCCCCACTGGTGATTTGGCCCACAACCTAGGCATGTGCCCTGACTGGGAATCAAACTTGCAACCTCTCAAGCGCTGAGCCACGCTGGCCGGGCTTAAAACCATAGTTGTATTTACATTGTCATTCTCTGCTTGCATCATTATAACTAGACACTGTCGCTTGCAGAGCCAAGTTGTAGTGCTATGATTACATATCTTCTCCAGCATGTTTTCCCTTGAGTTAGTCATTGCCTTGTTGTTTCTCACTTGAATTATTATATATATATATCCTTAATTCTTTTCATATGTACCATTCTATATCTGCCATGTCATTTATTCTAGCTAATCCCTCTTGTCACTGGACACCTCCTATTAGGACACTGTCTTCCTGCTCCTGTGTGAATTGTTCTTTGAGCCTGCTGCAAAGCTCTCACCCTGAGACTCTAATTTGTCACTTTTATGGGTTGGAGTTCTATTTTTGCCTTGATTCCAGATTTTACATATTTCAGTTTATTCTCTCATTCTTTTTGACCTAGTTTTTCAAACTCGTGTGGACATCTCATTTAGAGCAATAGACGCCCCTCCCCCCCACCCAAGTCACTACTAGAAGCTGGTGTATAATTATAATCAATTGCCCAGTCAATTGATTGATTGCTTTATTGGTGAAAAATGGGTATATATTAGTATAGAGGCAGCATGGAAGAAAGAGGTGCTCCAAAGCTGTATATCTTTAGGAACATTTCTTAAATTTTTCATCCTTTATTTTCTCATCTGTAAAATGCAGATACTATTAATATCTACCTCATTGAGTTGTTATGAAGATTAAAAGAGATAACATAGGCAAACCGTCTTATCTAGTACCTGGCACATAGTAGCTGCTTCCTAAGTGGTACATGACACTAGTGGTCATTTTGTCAGCTGTCCTTGAGAAACTGAAGGCCAAGCTGGACATGCTTCAGGATTCCAAGGTTTGGCAAATAACCAAGCAGAAGTTCCAGCAAGCTGAAAAATTGGTGAATGATGCCCTTTCTAACATCTTCTCGGCTCTGGATGAGGCTTTCGGGTGAGTTGGGGCTTCATGGTGGAGATCCTTGTTCCAAAAGGAAGGGAATACATATTTTGGGGGGAAGGGAGTAAGTTTAAGATTAAAGACAGAAAGATAGCAAAACTTGTTCTTCCCACAGAGCCTAGGTGGTCTAGGGCCAGGTCCACCAGAGCTTGAGTAAATTAGAGGCAGGGCCACAGGGATAATCTGGGCCTCACATGGGTTTGAGCTTCCACATCCTGTAAATTCAGGGTCAGGGTGAAGGCTCTCTTCACTCTCCGCTCCACCTGTTTGGTGGTGCCTGGATTCCCTTTTCCAGGGAATAAGACTTTCCTCTCCAAATATAGCCGAAAATAAAATTTTGAATCCCCTCAGGAGAGAGAAAACTGAAATTGCCTCACGCTGACTCCACACACAGAGTTTTGGAGTCAAACAGTTGCGAGTTCAAACTCTGGCTCTGGCAATTGTTCATCCTTGGAATCTTGGGGGAAGTCATAACCGTCTGATCCTCAGCATGCCACGCCGTAAAGTTGAAACAATCAAACCTCTGAAGAGGGCAATGGTAAAGAGCAAAGTAGGCAAGGTTGGTGAGGCCCCAGTGCTGAGCGTGATCCTGGCGTGGAGAAGTGCTCAGCCAATGCCGCCGTGAGGACTGACAAGGCTGAATTCTTGTTTTTGCGAAGGTTGACAATCAGTAATGCCCACATTACGGATGTCAAAGCTGAACTAACTGCTGATGGCAAAGGCCTTAACCTGCAGCTCCCCGTCACTGCTGACGTCAAAGTCATCCTGTGAGTATGTGTTAGAATCTGGCACTTGGGGGAGGCAGCGCAACATAGCCAATGGATCTCCAAACTGGAACCTGGCACTAGTCCGTGCTGCTGTGTGGCCTTGGGCCTCAGTGTCCCAATCTATAAATAAGGGAGCTTTCCCAGCTCTAACATCCTAACCTTTCAAAAGTTCTAATAGCCCCGGCTGGTGTGGCTCAGTTGGTGGAATGTTGTTCTGTGCACCAACAGGTTGCCGGTTCGATTCCCAGTCAGGGCACATGCCCGGGGGTTTCAAGCTCCATCCCCAGAAAGGGGTGTGCAGGAGGCAGCCAATCAATGGTTCTTTCTGGTTAATGTTTCTCTCTCTCCTTCTCCTTTCCTCTTTCTTTAAAATCAATTAAAACGTATTTAAAAGAAAAAATTCTAATAAATTTTGGCCATCACCAAGTCTCTTTTAAAAGAACCCTCCATTAAATATATTTCTGAAATCATAACTTGTATCTAACAGTAAAATTTGTAAAAATGGAGAAGACAAACATTTGTAACTCTTTGGCAAAATTTTCTCTAGCATTATTTTGTCTCTCAAGATTCTCTTTCAATAGCAGTGACCATTACAGATAAATGCATATAGTAGTGTATAGTATATAATAAAGGGCAGGTGTGAAAACTAAAATTTTATTTTTTAAATTTATTTTTTATTAAACTTAGTGGGGCTACATCAGTCAATAAAGTTATATAGGTTTCAAGTGCACAGTTCTAAAATACATCATCTTCCCAATGCATTGTGCACCGACCACCCAAAGTCTAGTCTCCTTCCATCACCATTTATCCCCTGTTTACTCTTCTACCTCCCCCGACTCACCCTTCCTTCTGGTGATCACCATCCTGTCGTCTGTGTCCATGAGCTTTGGGGATTTGGGTTTTTTTTGCTAAATCTCTTCACCTATTTCACCCAGTCCCCACAGGCCCACTCTGCTCTGACAGCTACCAGTCTGTTCTCTGTACCTATAAGTCTGACTCCATTTTATTTGTTTATTTTGTGCATTAGAGTCAATATATAAGTGAAATCATAAGGTAGAAAAATATAATCTTAAAGTATACTAATTACTTTAAAAGAAATAGATAGGAAAATGAGCACCTGTGGGAAAATCTTTATAAATTAAGTACACTATCATTTCATCATTCATTAGCTATGAGATCTTGGGATGGTAACCTAACCTCTCTTCAGAATGCTTCCTCATTCTGAAACAGTGACAAGGATAGTACTTTTCCCTCATGGTATTGCTGTAATGATTAGATGGATTAATCCAGGTAAAATACCTTTTAAGAGTGCCTAACACATTTTGTACTCAAGAAATGTTAACTATTATTATTATTTTAATTATTAGAGTGATGCTATATAAAAATTTCATGTGAACCAAACCTATGTGGCCAGAAGAGGCACCTAATAGAAATATGTTAATTCGATAAAGAATACGGGCAATGTCGACATTATCCATAAATATCCTGGATAAGATCCACAAAGGTAGAGGAACCAGGGGCAAAATGAAGCCTTTTAGACCTCTCCTCACTGAATCTTATTTTCTGCAGGCCTCTCATTCGCCAGACAGTCAACCTGAAGGCTTCCTTGGACATCCTGACTACTGTCAAAATCGAAACTGATGCCAAGACCGGCGCCCCCACCGTGGTCATGACAGAATGTGCCAGCAACCCAGACAGCATCTCGTTCACCTTGCTGGGCAAGTAAGTCCCATCCATCTCCGTAGAGCCGGGCTCTCGGAGGAGTCAAGGGCCTCTGATCTCAGCCCTATTCTTATACCTGGGAGGGGGCACAATGTGGTAAAAAAGGATTTAGGCTCTGTCATCAGACAGACCTTGGTTCAGATACCAGCTCTGTCCCTAATTTGTAACTTTGTAATCAACTTAACCTCTCTCAGCCTCAGTTTTCACCTCTGAAACTGAAGATGACATAATACCTACCCATAGGCTGCTGAGCTGAGCAAATGATGAAACACAGGTGTTGAGCACAGAGCCTGGCACATACTAAGCTCTAGTGATAACAACATCCATGCCGACTTTGTGTCCTTGTTCTCTCCATTATGACCGAGACGGGAGTGTTGACCTCTCCAATTAGAATCGTGAATTTGCTTATTTCACTTTTCAGCTCTGATCAGAATTTTGCTTCTTGCTTTTTGAGGATCTGTTGGTAAAGGAATGCGTATTTAGGATTACTATATCTTCTTGAAGAACTGCCCCTTCATGGTTATATAATGTTCTCAATCATCATCATCATCATCAATTGTATTTACCTTCTTGCCGTGGTTGGGAGGGGGGAAGAGGAGCAAATGTTCACCATGGGCTCTAATTTCAGATTGTCCCCAAATTGTTCTCCACCCACTGGAAAATTCCTGAAATGAGATCTTGAAAACTTAATCCTCTCCATTTAAATCATTTATGCCTGTAAATCCACAAAATCTACATCTTAAACTGTGTGATTGAAGGACCAGGCTTGGCCCCCGGAAGAGGGTTGAAGGGCAAAGGGTGACCCTGGCCATGGCTGGGACAGGAGAAATGTCTGGAAGCTGAGGACCGGAGCAGGTTGGCTTCGGCAGAGAATAAGTCTGGGCCATGAGCAGAGGTCAATCCACTCTACCCCCACCAGGGGATCTGATCACAGGTTGCCTAAAGACCCCCCTAAACCCAAATGAAGGCACCAATGCCTGATGTTAGTTGGAAAGGCTGGAATGCAAAGTCAGAGGCCGGAGCCCTGCTGGACACTGCTTTGCCAGTAGCCTCAGAGAATTCATCCTGCCACTCGGGGTCTCAGTGTCCACATCTGTAAAACGGCGTTCCACTCTGCTGCTCTAAATCCTCTCGGGCTTTTCTTCCCATGTTGGATGGAATCCCAAGCCCTCCCCATGGCCACCTACACTCTGTGTGATCTGCCTCATCCTCATCTCACTTCAGTCTCCCATGTGCACCCTGGGCAGACACACTGGCCTTTGCTCTGGGCCTCCGGGGAGCTCCTCCCACATCCAGACCTGTGCAGTGCTGTCCTCGCTGCCCAGGACACCCTTCCCCCACTCCGCCTCCGCGAACATCCCTTCCTTCAAGGTCTAAAACAAGGTTCCTCTGATTCTCTCTCGAAAGCATTTAATTGTATGTTTACTTCATTCATTCTTTTAGCTACAAATGTATTGAGCATCTGCTATGTGCCAGGCAGGCAGCGTTCTGAGCTCTGGAGAATTTGTTGGTGAGAACAGACAAGGACCCGGTTCTTGTGGCGCTTACTATCCTGAGGGCAAGGCAGACAGGCGAGCATCCAGCCCCTCAATAAAGAGCCCTCAAGGAAGATGTCAAATGGCCTAAGCCCTGAGCAGAGCAGCACACTTGTGCTGAGAGCTGAAGGTGGGAAGCAACCAGCCTTAGCAAGAATTGTTTAATGTTTAGGTACCAGGTTAGGAGCTGTTAGTGCTTCGCTCATCCCCATACCCGCAGCCTGGCTTGGTCCCTGGCACAAGCTGCTGCTCTATATTTGTTGAATGAGCCCGGCTGGTATGGCTCAGTGGATTGAGTGTTGTCCCATGGAGTGAGACGTCCCGGTCTGATTCCCAGTCAGGGCACATGCCCAGGTAGTGGGCTCGATCCCCAGTGGGGGACATGTAGGAGGCAGCCAATCGCATCAATGTTTCTATCTCTCTCTCCCTTCCTCTCTTTCTAAGAAATCAATAAAAACATATTTTTAAAAAACTATATTTGTTGAAAGAATGGGGTTGTGATGCGGTATTGGGGTGAGCCGCTGGTCAGACATGAGATTTTGAGTGAGGATTCCCCTGGATACAGGGAGGCTCTGTCTGTGCTTAGAAAGGCATCTCAGTGCCGCTGGGCTTTGTTTACTTACCCGTCAAGGTGCTCTGCCTTCTCCTCCGCTCTCCTCACCCCCTGCTGCTTGGCAGCTCTGCCCACTTGACCATGTTTATTAGTTCTCGCTCTTTTCCAGACACAGTGTACTGGTCAACAAGTTCGTAGACACCATGAGCAGCTTCCTGAGCAAGACTGTGTCCTTCCTGGTGCAGAAGCAGGTAAGTCCACTCCTGGGGCCAGAGCCACACCTGGTGGGGAGCCGTGTGGCATTTCCAGGCCTGGCTGCACTCCTGGGCCCTCTCCTCATGGGGCTGCCAGCTGGAATTACCCCTTTACTGGGGGGGGGGGGGCACTGGGCGAAGGGCAGCAAAGCCCTGACAGCTGAAATCACTGGGTCCCAAACTTGAGCTATTTGTCATATCCAGGTACTATCAATGTGTTTTTTTAGCTATTTTCCTTTAATCAATACAATTTTACTTATTTATATTTATTTAAATATACTTATTTTTAGAAGGAAACTTCATATCCCTGCCATAAATAGAAATTAATATGACTTATAATTAAAAAATAAGCGCAGACATATAAAATAGGTTTTTATTTGCACATTATCCAAAAACGTATGTACCATGTGCAGGATTCCTCTGCATCGTACAAAACGGTATGTGTCGTGTGCCCACGGTCCCAGAGATTGAGCTAGTCGTTCCGGAGGGGGGCTGGGACCCTGTTTGTGGAAGGGAAACGCAGCTGTCTCTGGGGCTCGTTGAGCTGGGGCCTGGATCCTCAGTGTGTGGTCCTCCAGCCGGCAGCACAGGCCTCGCTGGGAGCGTCCCAGAAGGGCAGGCTCACACCCCACACCAGGCCTGCGGAGTTTTAACCAGATCCCCAGGGAACCACACACAAAATCATAAGAAACACTGCTCTTTGGTTCCCAGGGCCCCCCTAGACTGAAAAAGTTCAAGGTTTCTAAGAATGTAGAGGTCTGGGATGCTAACACTCTAGATTCTTAAGGTTCTAGGATTTAGTTTGGTAGATTGTAGGATTCCAGCCTCCTATGGTTCTCAGATGTTAGACTTCTAGGTTTCCAGTGCTCTAGAATCCGCAGGGTCAAAGGTTCTATAACCCCATGTGAAGAGCCTCTCCATGGGTGGTCGGCAGTTTGTGTTCTGACCTTTTCCTTCTAATCTCTTTCTCCCCCGCTCCGCCCCTCAGATATGCCCACTGGCCCGCATCTTCGTCTCCACCGTGGATGTGGATTTTGTTCAGAATGTCATCGGTAAGTCACAGCCTGGGGAAGTGAAGGCGTTCCCTGTGCAGCCTTCCTAGGGCGGGTAGGCAGCTTCGTGCCCACCGCACGAGCAGGTCTGGTCAGGGGACCCTGAAGAAGCTCAGGACCCAACATCCTGAGCAAGTTGGGAGAGTGTGGCTAGAGGGGTCCCTGCAGAATGGAGGGGGCTCCGTGGGCCCCTGAGAGCTCTCTGCCATCATCCCTTGGTAAACTCACAGAAGCTGCCTGGCAGAATTCTATGAGAAAGAAGATGCGCCAGATGTGAGTTCAAATCCAGGCTCTGCTACTTGACAACTGTGGGGCTTTGGTCAAGTGGCTCTGCCTTTCTCAGCCTTGGTTTCTCCCATGTAAAAAAAAGATTGTAAACATTGTCCAGTTGGTGATTAGATTCAAAGAAGAAGCATAAATAGCCTAATGTCCAGTGGGCATGGCTGATAAACACCTTCCTTTCTCTTTCCCTTCTTAGGAGAAGCTGGGGCTTCTCTCCAGCGCTTGGGGCTTTCTTTAACCATTGGGTCTTCAGGCATGTCTGGGGTTGCTGGGGATGCTGGAGCAATAGAAATGGGTTAAGTGGCCGTGTCTGGGTTCTGGAGGTGGCCCTTCTATGGAGACAGCCACAGGCCTAGTTCCTTGGGCAGTCTCTGTGCTCTGCATGCACCATCTCATTGGATCTCCACAACAGCCCTGTGGGCCAGCGGCCATCATTGTACCCATTTTACAGATGAATAAACCAAGGCTCAGAGAGGTAGAGAGACCTGTCTGAGGTCCCATGGCTGTCAGGCTATCTCACTGGAGAGTGGCAGCCATTGGGGTCTGGTTTCTATTTGGTGGAGACTGAGGCCTACTATTGATTTTGTTCTTCCAGATAAACTTCTTCAGGGAGTCCAAGTGACACTCCACCCCTGAAGAGGGCAGACGAGGAGGACTGCTGTGATTTCCCCGACTGGTGAGGGGCCAGGCTTTGTGTCCCATGTGTCCTTAGGGGTCTATGGTGAAGGCAAAGCGAAGCTTGAGTTCTCTTGTTTTTTGTAGCAGCAGCAGCAGCAGCAGCAGCAGACTGAGTCCTGATCTTGTTGATCTTGATCTTAGATGGAGCCCTGACCCTAGTCCCAAGCCAAACCCCGACCCTGACCACACTCTAAACCCCAAGCCTTAATCACATACCTAAACTGAGCCCAGATCCTACTTGTAGACTGAGCTTTGGATCCAGTTATTGACTGAGCCCTGATATTGGTCATAGATTGAGCCCTGACTCTGACCTCAGACTAACCCATGATCCTGATTATATACAGAGCCCCAAACCTTGACTCCAGTCCTGGGCTCTGGGCAGTCTCTTTACATCTGTCATTGTTCATAGGGTGAGGAGAGAGGCAAGGGAGGGAATAAGGATGGTTCAGTGCTAGGTGCCAGGAAAAGACCCCAACCACAGGTGCCAGTCCCCTCTCCAAGGCCTTAGACCCTGCAGAGTATTGTGCAAAAGAGTTGGGCAGCAGTGTGTGGGGAATAGCAGGTGCCTGTAAGGGCCCCTTTGCTGTCCATGGCCTAACTCCCAGTGGTCTCATTCCAGATCAACTCCCAGTGGCTTGACTGTGTGTCCTTGTAGCATCACCCCCTGGAAAGATGCTGCCACCATCCAACTGGACTGAGATCCTGAGCCCAGGCAGAAGGACCCTCTCAGCTACTCTTTGCCTTCATAGTCAAGACAGCAGTCTCTATGCTCATCACCCACCACCCCCAGCAATAAAAGACACTTCTACATCCTCCTGTGTGACCTGTTGCATTCCTTCCATTTGGGTTTTGGGAAGGGAGGTGCAGCTGGGGCAGTAGAGACCTGGATCCAGAACTGGAAGGGACATGCTGTGTGACATTAGGCTGCTAACTTCCCTTCTCTGAGCCCTCTTTCCTTATGTGCACAGTGATCCCTAAAGATCCTTTCTGTTCCAACAGGACAGGAGTTAATGCTTTCTCAAGAATGAAGTAGAAAGAGGATAAACATTTATTGAGCTCCTACTACATGACTTTACCTCGCAGGGGACATTTGGAAATGTCTAGGAATATTTTGTTGTCACAAATTGGGCAAGGGGTGCTACCAGCATCTGGTGGGTAAAGGCCAGGGATGCTGCTAACCATCCTATAGGACAGCAATCCTTCACAACAAAGAACCATCCAAGCCAAAATGTCAGTAGTGTTGAGAAAGCCTGTAATTAAACCCTTAAGCATATTATCTTGTTGAATTCTGATTTTTACTGAGTGATGCAGTGAATGGTTTGGGGGGAAGTTATGGCAACTTTAGAGAGGTGGAGTAACTTGTCCAAGACCACACAGCTGGTTAGAGGCAAAGCAGGATTTAATCTTAAGTCGCTCTCCTCCAGAGCTAGTGTTTCCCCTGCTAGCCAAGGAAGAAGGTGAGATTTTTCCTTTCTGATTATGTTTTGTGACAATCCCACCTCCCGCAAAAAAATACACAGGAGGTCTCAAAATTCAGGGCCTCTTTGGGCGGTAACCAATTTGAGTCAGTGGCCAGCCTTAATCCATGCGTTCTATCCACCTGGGGTACTTTCCTTCTCCCTCTCCAGATATAAGATTCTGCTCATTGGTCACCTCCCAGGTATGTGAGGGACCTCTCCTCAATGCTGCCAAAAAATAAGACACTGTGATTCCCGACTTATAGGGCTAACCAATCTTCCTTGTCCTTACTGTCCAATACAGAGAGAGTGCTCTCAGGAAGGGTCAGCTCTCATTATCATGGTTTTCGTCTTTCTTATTCATCTATCTCCCTCGTGAGCCCATGAGATCCTTGAGGGCAGATACTGTCCTCTGCTCAGCAGCCCCAGTGCCCAGAGAAGAACCAGATACAGTACAAGCACTAACCAATGTTGAATGAATGAATGGGTGAATGAATGAGTGAAAGTTTTCTTGACTGTACACAGACACCATTTCCAGGACAGCTGGGTGGGTGCATGAACAGGAAAATTGTAGCAACCCAGGATTGGAGGCATATGGAAGATGTCATCATTTTCTATGAACTAGAGCCAGATACCTGGTACTTGAAGACAGAAGTGATAGGCTGTGGACCAAATGCAAGGCTCCTAGGTGAGTAAAGCCCAGGACATAGAGTAGGTGTGGCCAAGGCCACTCAGCCCCACTGGGGACTGATGAGGTCAGTGAAGGGGAAAGGGGACAAGGTGGAGAACTGAGCAAGCATTCGCCTGCTGTGAGCCTGGTACTGCCCAGACTAGCTCCTCACCCACTCAACCCAGACCTCAAAGAGGGGTGAGGGCTTCCTGGAGATGGTGGCACCCTATGAAGGAGGCTTCAGGGAAGAGGAGGGCACTTTGAGGAGGTGAGGGGACCTCTGTCATAGGGAATTTATGGCAAGAAAGAAGGCAAAACCTAAGTGAACCTCGAATCATCTAGAAACGAGAGCACCAAACTCTAGTGCAAGCTCTTTTGAAGGCTTCATTCAGTTCAATAAATGCTGGATCTGTCCAATGTTCACACAATCCTTCAGGGTAATCTTAGGATCAGAATTATGAACTCTATGCCTTGGAATACTTTATGACCCCAAGAACACATCAAAAAATTATTTACCAAACCGGATCTTTCTATTTACACTATGAAATGTATACATTTCACCAAGTATTTGCCAACAAGTGGACACTTATTTTAAATGGTTGCTCTTTGAATGAGGATAGAATAAACATCATCACATTGGACAAGCCAAAGAGCCCACGTTAGAGGAGGTAGTTGTTACATCAACTCAGTAGTCTTATTTCTGAACTTTTTTTAAATTAGAAAATACTGTGTTTGGTAGTTGGGTGAAAACACAGATCTTAGAACTGTATACTTAGTTGAAATCACAATAATGCAAACAACTGAAACTGGGGGGAAATCATGAAAAGGGATACTGGAATTTGACAAAAGCTTTGTGGGGGTGATCCATTTCTCTGTTAATGTTTATGCAAGAAAAAAATGAGGGGTTTTTTGGGGGTTTTTTTTGTTTGTTTGTTTGTTTTTTAATAGAGAGGTGGTTAAATATCTAGCTACCCCAGGCTCTGCACGGGGCAGTTCAGGGGTGACTGAAGCAGTACCTGTCCAACCCAGTGCAGCCCAAATTGGGTCTCTGCGATATGGAAGGGGCTAGGAGAGAGGGAGCAGGACCTGCACCTGTCACAGAGGCCCACTGCTTCCTGGAGGAAGATACAATCGGAAGAGACAAAAAAAAAAGTGCTGAGAAAAAGACTCAGGGGAGGAGCTCTGACCCAGCCTGAAGGTAAGGGGCAGCCAGGGAAGGCATCAGCCAATGCCAGTTAAGTTCTAATTAGCATAGTGCCTGGGCCACAGTGAACACCATTAATCATTAGCTATTTTGATCTTCACTATATTACTATATTTAATTTTTTCCCAAGATTCCCCTCTTTGCTGTCTCCTTGCCCTGCTTCATCCAAAACTCAGTTGCTGATTCCCACCCTCACCCTTACCCCGATCTATTCCTTCCCAACCCAGTCCATCTTAGCCAATGACAACTCCACCTACCCATTTGCTCTGGTCAAAAATCTTGATGTTGTCCGTGACTCCTCTCTTCCTCTCACACTCACATCCAGCCTTTTGGTACACCCTGCCTGTCTCCACCCAGGTGTCTGAACATTTTCTCTACCTCGTCTGTTCTCAGCCATCATCTCCCCCTTCACTTACTGACCCAGATCCTCCTGCTTCCACCTCAAACCCACTCTTCCTCCACTCTGTTCCACCAGGATCCAGAAGAATCTTTCTAAGAAGTAGTACAGACTCTATAACTCTTTGGCCCAAACCCTCTATTTGCTCTCAGAACCAAACCCAAAGTCCTTACCATTCACCCACAAGGCTCCATGCGATCTGGCCCTAACTACCTCTCTCATCTCTTCTACTATTCTCCCTCACCCACTGCCCACCAACCACACCGAGCTTGTTCTGTTCCTTAAACAAGCCAGTACCAGCCTCAGGGCCTTTGCATTTATTCTGTCTTCTGCCTTGCCCTTTCTTCCCCTGGCTCGACTCATGACACGTACCCTCACTCTATTCATGACTCTGTGCAAATGTTCTCTCCTATGAGAAGCCTTCACCCTGTCTAAAATTCTACTCTTCTCAATGTCACTCTCTATCACCTAATCTTTCAGGACCTTTTCTTCCCAGAACCTATCACCCGACAAATTCTATATGTGTTAATCTACTGGGTTTATCATGTTACACATATACACTCTTCCCAAGCATGTGCTATCTATGACTTTAGGTCTTTTGCTTATTATTTATTCACTCATTTATTCCACTGTGCTTGATGCTGGCCAAAGGGTTAGGCATGCTCAGTCTAAGCTGCATTAAAGCAAGAACTTCTTTTTGCTCAGAGCTGTATTCCCAGTGCTTATCACATAGCAGCTGTGCAATAAATTACATGATTAATGAGTAAGTTACCATCTTTGCACACATTCAACTTCTGCTCTGCAGAAAACCTGCCTTTGCACAAAGTGGGGGTTGCCTGCAGCTGGAGCTACAACCTTCCCTTATTTTGCTGTTTCTTCACCCAGGGTACAGGTGAAAGGCCATCAAAGCACTGATATCACCCTTGAGAGCCTCTCTAATAAAAAGGGAGCTGAGTTCAAGTTACCACCAGAATGTTCTGTGTTTGTGAAGTAACAGCTGCTAGTTCCATGCACAGGTCTGTCCACTTTTGCACAGGTGCACAGGTGTGGGGGGAGCAGCCATAAGTTAAAGGCATTGAGTGCAAGCTCATCAAGACTCATTGTGTGGCTGGAGCAGGGCCCCCCCTCTCTGGGCCTAGGTTACCCTGTGTGTAGAATCAGGAGCCTGCAGAGTACTTGAATGCTTCCAATCTGGGACCCGTCTAGTGAAAGCAGGGGGGTTCAACAGGT